TGACAGTCAGAGTGGGAGGGATTTAATAAGAGTAAAAATGCCTAGCTCGTTGGCCTGAAGTTTCCAGCCCCAGATGTCTACTGTAGGACAATCATGGGGGGGTCCACTGAGAGGATCTGCTCATGCTTCCTCTGCTAGATCTTCACCATTGCAAACAAACCTGTCTGACCCATAAGCTGGAGGCATTTCTGCTTCTCAGGTAAGGCAATCCCCGTGGCGGGTGGCTGGGGGGGGAAGTTTCCTGTCATGATCCAGAGATCTCATGTTGATGCAGGCTCAATCAAAGAAGAAGGCATTGGGTGTTGGCAATGATAGCTTGTGAGGCTTGCAGCCAGCATGTGTCCCCTCTCAAGAGATAGTCTTGTTGCAGTCTTCCTATAGTTGTCAGCTTTACCTGCTTGGTCGCTCTTAAGCTTCACCCTACCTGGCTTGTGGCGCGCATTGGCTTCGACAAAACTTATGCAGCTAATAATTAAATGTTTACTGGCTAACTACTACCGTCCAGCCATTGCAGACAAACAGGACGCAGATTGTAGTAGAAACCTCTACAGCTGAGGCTCACTTGTATCCTACCTCACGAAAACCTCTCATGCTTCCACATCACAGATCACAGGTCACTATCCAACACGGGCAACCCGCAGCCTTCCCAACTACAAAGCTGGGAAGCCCCCAAGCTGGGTGTAAATGCCAGGTGGCCCTGTCATTTCACCTTGTGCATGAACAACTTGCTTGCTGATCTTGCTGTCGTTGAAGTGGAAGTAGAGTGTTTCTGGTGAGTTCTCAACATACTGTCCTGATGGCTCAATCGGAGGACATGGTCCAAAGGCATATGGCTTGGCTGTATGGTGCCCATGGGGAATCAAATTGCGGAGGACAACCGCACCATCAGCCTGCTCTTCAATGGATTCATATTTGAAGGCAAAATCTGGAAAGGCATCAAATATTTTGTTGACCTCAGCAGCAAAGTCTTGATATTCCAGCTCCATGTTGTCAGCTGCTACAAACACAACAACAAAATCTGTTGAAACCAGCTTCTTGGCACTTTCGAAGTCATGATTGTTCCATTCCTGCACAAAGGCCACCACAAGATCATGCTTCCAGCTTTGTTCAGTTGCTGATGTATTCCTGCTATCAGACTCTGTTGTCTCTTTGACCAAAGCCTTAGACTTCTTGCGACGGAAGAGTTTCTTGAAGAGGTTCATGGTTTGTTTTTGTGGCTAGCGGTACAGTGTAGCTATCTACGGCTGTAGAGTGTTGCTTTCTTTGGAAATGTGTGCCCGATGGTGGAATTTGTGTGCTCGATGGAGGAATTTTGTGTGGTGGTACCAGTTCCAAGTTCCAAGAGCACCCACTTGACCTTTACAACAAGATTGATGAGCCCCCAGCCTAGAACTAGAAAAACCTAGATAATTTCCCTAAGTAATTGATTTATGAGTACTCAGTGAGTACTCTATAGTACCCACAAAGTACCTGTACTCACATGATACCCGTACTCACTTGACCCTGGGAATTGTGAGTATTACCCAGTACCCATACTCACTTGACTTTGGAATTGTGAGTACTACTCAGTACCCATACTCACATGCTAAAACAGTGTGAGTACCACGCCCTGCTCAGCATCTCAAGTCTGAAAAATAATGGTCTAAATATCTATCTGTGAAACTTACCGACATTGTGCCAAGCGACAGACATATTCTCCGACATTCTTTGACGTTGTTGACCTTAGCATTATTAAGAGGGTCTTGTCTCTGGCTGACCGTCTGCCCTTCTTTCTCAAATAAATACGGTACATGTAAGAAGTTTGGTATAAAGTACTTAACTTTCCGATTTCCGAGTTCCGTGTTTTGAAGAGCCACAAAGATTCTGACTCCACCCAGACATTTTTGCAGACGCTTTCCTGCAAATGCAGCCATCAGCTGTACCGGTGATCTACTCAGTGTCTCTGCATAACAATACTGAGTAAGCAGAAGCGACATTAAATTTTTCAGTCAAGCCGTACTGGTGTACTGGTATTTCACCCCAAAGTACGGCTGTAGGAGCTGCTGCATTTTATTAACAGGTCTACCGTCGTATTGCTTCCGGAGAATGTTGCGCAACTCGCTTGGGCGCGGACACCAGCCAGCCCACCAACCAAAGTTGGGCTCGGAATTGGAATTTTAAAAATAAAGATCGCCTCTAGGCGCCTGGAGACTTCAATGCCATTCTCCTAGTTCGCATACTCACTCGTAGGGCTAGGATTACATAATATTGCCCTCAACCGACTGAGCGACTGAGGGTCTTTCACACTTTTATCGCTGTATGTGCAAGTTAGTCTGTACGTCCGGCATAAAGGATGGGGTAAATAATAATTGTTAGTTGGTAAAATATACTCCGAGTACCAAACTATGTGTGTGTGCAAGTTAGTATGTACGTCCGCCATAAAGGATGGGGTAAATAATAATTGTTAGTAGGTAAAACATACTCCGAGTACCAGAGTATGTGTGCAAGTTAGTCTGTACGTCCGTCATAAAGGATGAGGTAAATATTAATTGTTAGCTGGTAAAACATACTCCGAGTACCAATGTGTGTGTTTTGGTTGGCTATCGATAGACTACAGTAGACTGTGTGTTCAGTTGAACAGAGTGTTGGATTTGGCCAAAGAATCAAATCTCTTTTTTGACAGTTGAGGGCATCAGCCTTCGGCTGTCTGTTCTTTTCGTTCTTGCCCCACTATGAGGCGATGTTGATGGTCCCTCAGGATCATCGTCCAGCAGACACAATAACGCCCAGAGAGTGGTTTGGCTGGGGACCGGCCGTATTAGTGGGTTGAGTCCTCCCACCAAACCAGCCAAGCTGAAGTGCAGTCGTAGTAGTCTCTGAAAAAAATGGATTGATGCTGTAGTTGTGAATCCTGAACATAACAATTAATCCTGGGTATCGATGGCTACATGTTAGTCCGAAGACTTCACCCTCGAGCTATTTTACAGTCAACAGTGTATGGAGCTATTTTGCGTCATCTCCTCTTCCACGCCTCTTCCATGAGTACTATTGGAACCGAACTGGAAGATTGTTGTTGTGTACATGATGATGCAAATTCCAGCCCACAGTTTGTTGGGGCACATTTGTGTTTTAGTCTCCAATCCATTCAACACGCAAACCAGCCATCATAAAGTGTTTTTGCAATCGTTGAGCAATCTCCAATTTGACGCTGTTGAGCGAAGCACTGCTGCCCTTCATTTCAAGATAAATGGCTGGCTGGAGACCATCCACTCCTTCCAATCTATTGCATTCAATGGACCCACCGGCCACCTGAAGGAATGGTCTAACCCCATCCAAAATGACACCCACTTGTTCCTCATTGAGAGGTGGTCCTTCTGGCATGGCTTGGATGACCTCTTGAATTTCTGGGATTTTCTCCTTCAGCCCTCTTTCCAGTCCCATCTTCATCGTCTGAGTACTAGATGGACAAGTACCGCAAGCTCCCTGTTTTTTTGTAGGATGATTGCAGGGTATCATTTTGTTGTTGTTGTGTATGCAACACCATTTCATTCATCACATGTGTCAGGCTCAAAATAAATAATAATCATGGACAGCCTCATTCAGAAGCAACTAACTTACCTGAAGCTCCAGCCTCACCACAGGCCCATCGATTTCTTGAATAATGACATTACCACCATCCTGAATCAGGTAGGGCCTCATTTCATCCAGTACCATCTCCACATTTTCCCAGGTCAGATCAAAAGGACCTTCCCCTGACGACTCTGGTTTGGTAGCAACAGCAACAGCCGTATCCTCAGAGGAAGACTCGGCTGATTCATCAAAGGGAGATACAATCGTCATGAACGTCCCTGTCTGCTGGAGATGTCTTGTCATCAATGGAACAAAAGCACCGGAACTTGCGGCACTCAAGACCAGCACAAGGAGAGGGAGCAGGGGGTGCTTGAGAGGGGCGTTCATCATGGTGAAACTGATTTCGTCGAGTGGAAAATGAGTAGAGGATCCATGGGAGGTCCACAATTTATTTCGTGAGGTCAGAGTGTTGTCAGCCTAATAGATGCACCAATGAGAAAAGATAGAAGATAGTTGATACTGGGGTCACCTCATCCACGATCCATAGGAAGGAAGAAGGTGTCTTCTTAGTTCTTTTTCACATGTATGTATGTAAATAATTTAGTTGTGCTTCAATGAAATAATGAGGAGTACTACTGCCGTACTGCCCCACAGCTTAATTAAGAGGAGAAGTGCAAGAAGACATGGTCAATAAGAAAAGCCTTCAACAAAAAGACTTAAGCATCCAACAGTGAACATTTTTTGGAAGTTCCGCTTTTCACAGAGCGCTGAAGGCCGCTTGAAGGCGGCGACATCCCATGCCAAAGCACAAACCACACATTGCTTTTTGATTTGAAACAGCACCAAGCTCAATGGCCCGATGAAATGCATAGTGCCACGAGGGCACCGCGCACACAGAACACTGTTGGCCGGCCGTCTCGCATCGCTACGGGAAGCGGGAGCCAAAACTGCAAAGGACGAAATTAATCATTCAAGTTGTTGGTCAGGGAGATCTACGAAAGTGGATCGAATCAATCATTCTATAATCTACGGATACTGCAGCCTAAAACGATAAAACTGTTACTATTACACGAGCTATTACTATTACACGAACAACTTTAGAGTCAATGTACGCCCGTGGTCGTTCAGAATTGGTGGGGCATTCGTATCGGTGCCACTGAACATTCCCACTCAGGTGCGCAAGGGGACATTTATTTACATTCGAGAGGGGAAGCATTTCCCATCAGTTACATACAAGGAAATCCACCCAGCTGAGTGTAAATGCCGGGAGGTCCTGTCATTTCTCCTTCTGCATCCACAATTAGCTTGCATATCTTTCCATCTCTAAAGTGGAAATAGAGTGTTTCTGGTGAGTTCTGTATGTATTTTCCTGATGGCTGAATAGGTGGACAGGGCCCAAAGGCATAGGGTTTGGCTGTATGGTGACCACTGGCAACCAGATTGCTCACGACCACAACACCATCACTTTCACGCTGTTTGATGGAATCATACTGAAAGTAGAAGTCAGGAAAGGCATTGAAGACGTTTGTGGTTTCACGGGCCATGTCATCATATTCCATCTCTTGGTTATCTGCAAAGACGAAAACATATTCTGCAGTGACCATTTTCCCAGCCCCTTCCATATCGTGTTCATTCCATTTGGCCAAGAAGGCTTGTGCCAGTTCACTCTTCCAGTTTTGGTCCTCTGCTGTCTCCACAGGACTGTTGCGGTTATCAGTTGCAGTTGTAATGCAAGTGTCAGAATCTGATGTCTCCTTTTCAACCTTTTTGGACTTGCTGCGACGGAACAATCTCTTGAAGGGTTTCATCATGGTGTTTCCTTACTGTATAGTACAATTTACAAATCGCAGTGTGAAATGATCTTTGGGTGTGATCAAGTTTAGATTTGTGGAGCTCCTTTTTCCTTCTGCTGGTTCTGTGCGAAGCTGCGAAGCACAAACAGAGGGCTGACGTTGAGCACTTTCGTTTCGGCTGTAAAACGTGGCGGTCGTTGTGTCATTTGGGGAAGAACAGCTAGTAGTGGAGAATGCTATGGAAGCTTCCTGCTTTCGGTCCGGACATAATCGTAATCGTTCTTTGCCTTCTGTGTGTGAACCATGCAACCCCAACCCCCCAACCCCAAGGACAAGGAACGAGTGGGTGGTTGAGGTGTGGTTGGGCGCATTGCAATCTTGCGTGGCTCGGAGGTGCTTCTGTGTCCTACAACCTACACCCAAAGCTACTAGCTAGCTAGCTAGCTAGCTACCATACTTGTGACTACTTGATCGTGTTGACTGCCTAAGGTTGTCTACGTTCCTCGTACCTTCGCCTCGTGTGGTCATGCCTGCTGTGATGTCATACCGCGCTGCGACTTTATGGGGGGGTTAGGCAGCAGCGCGGGGGAGGGAAAAAGAAGAAGAAAGGGAGAGGGTTATGCGTTGGGATTCCGAATTCCCGATTGCGAGCATGCCCTCCAACCTGTCGTGCCAACTGCCATGAATTTACTTATGGTAATGAGGGGAAACGGCAGTGACCCAGTCATCTCCCCTCTCAAGTAACGATGTATCATGTCTGAAGAACACCAATATGTCAGCAAATACGTCAGAGCAACATGCATTCAAATCGATGTCAACGGATACTAACTTGCTCGCTTTCCCTCTCCTTCGCTCGCACCACACCTTCCCTGCATTTTTTTCAGTTCTTTCAAATCAAATCGCTGCTATTGTACTGGTATCGCGATCGCGATCGCTCCCATCTCCGATCGCTCCGATCGACCTCCGATGAGCAAAGAAATAGCGACCATGAGGATCGCAACTTCTCCAACCTTTTCACAGTGGCTTTTGAGTGTTGCTGATGCATACCCATATAATGAGCTGAGGTTAACAAGGAATGGCTTTCTTTGCAAGTACATCATTGTGGATGCGCCGCTCACCAGTCCCCATGGCGAGAGGTTTGATTGTTGGCCCACAAGTGAAGTGCCAAATCTTGAGGAGCTTATCATGCAAGGAGCATGCAAGCCTCTTCCTCCTGACATGACCGGCATCATGGACTACATGTTTGAATGGGGACGTCAGGATTCCACAATGGTACCGTGCTGTGCTTGCTACCCTATATGAAATGTTGGAGGGTCCACATCCCTGTGAAAGGAAGGACATGTTTATGGAGTGCATCTATTGGTTAGCAAAGGATAGGATCACTGAGGAGTATGACTTGGGCTCCATTGAAGGCCAGATTGCATGGATGCTTGGCATGGGTATTGCATCCAGTGGTATCAACCCAAATTTTCCTTCAAGCAATATTGTATGATGAATCATGAGTTTGTGATGTTGTGCATGGACGACCTTCAGTATAATGGAGGCCTGAGACCCCAATTGGCTATGTTTATTGATGGCAACAACCAACAAGGACTTTGAATGTAAGTTACTTGCTAAATTAGAAATGAATCGGATGTACCTAAATATTTATTGCTGTTCTTATGCCAGATATCCATTCAATCGAGTTTGACAGGTGGCATCATGGGTGTCTTCCTCTCCTGTTGGTCAACGCACTGGCAGTATCTCTGACAGCAGCAATCGGTGGAGGTGGCTGGAAAGTGATGGCAGTATTGGTTGGAATTGCCGCATTTGCATGGCAAGTTCATCATTTGAATTGTTGTTGTTGCTGGTATAGAATCAAATTACCACATAAACATTTCTTGTTTTTGGCACTGCAGGTGGTGTCGTCTGGCGCGTGGTCTGGTTGTGGCGGCGTGGAACCAATCTTTGCAGTCGTCATTCATTGGTGGACTTGGTGCTCGATTGCTGGTGGACTCGTGGTGCTCCAGTGCAAGCTGCACAAAGACAAACAATCATTTGGAGCATACTTCTGCCGCTGTGGTTTGAATGCCAACAATGAACTCTGAAAAGAATCCTCTCCCATTATCCCTGTGGCAGTCTCGCAGTAGGAATGGTTCATTGAGACCCACAGCCACTGCTAGCTCATGAGGTAAGCCAGCTCTGAATGATTCCAGTAAGGTACAACCTTTTCCCATCCGGCTGGAATTGACCTCCTTCTGCCCGAACTGATTCTTGACAGGAAGGCTCTCTTGTGTCTAATCTTGAGGTTGTATCTGGCTGTTCCAGCAAGTTTGAGTGCATCAGCAAGGCTTCTTCTCATTCCACCATTGCCAAAATGGGGCAAACTTGTCATGGAACCTTCTAACTTGGATCTCCTCTCCTTGATAGGTATCTGGAAGTGTGCTTGGGTGAGAAGGGTGGATTGTGTCATACATGTCTTCCAGTGCAGGGGATCAGCCAAGTGAATGTCTTTGTCAACACAGTTCTTACTGCTGGCTTGGTATCGGTTGTGAACAAGGTAAAGTTCTTGACTGGATCCAGTCGCCCTGTCCTGGCTTGCTACCATCACTGGCTGTTACCTTGTACCTGCAGAACCACGCTGCAACCTCTGGCTCATTGTTTCTGTGTTCTCTCATTTCTCCTTAGATATTGGAGTACCAGCTCTGAAGACCTGGAGGCTTGCATGTCGGAATCTCTGCCATGGAGTATGTTTCCATTGGAGACAAGAGGCCATGTTTCAATGCAGGAGGACTTCTCATAGTCATCTGGTGAGTACTCATACAAGCAATCCAAAAGGTCTCATGCTTGAAAGTAATCAATGTGAACCTTCCTCAAAGTTGACAGGACCTCTTCTCATAATGAAAAAGGCCAGCTTCCCTCATACCTGAAAGAGACTCCCAATAGCATCCTTGTGGGGCCAGGTGTCACTGTACATTGCAGCTGGATTGAAGTGCTCCTCCTGCTAGCTGCATGGCAGCATGGGAAGTGTCTTGTGGTAGGAACGAAACTGCTGAAGCAATCTCTCCTCTCAGTAGCAATCCCAAACAGCAGCAGCACCAAGACTCTTGCTGTAGTTCTTGATCACCTGGAAGGTGTGGTCTTTGACAGAAGATTCCTTTGTTGCACTTGACACTTTGGATCTCTCTTGTGTTGCCTTTGGTTGTCACTGATCCTCCACGGATTCCGTTTGAAGCACAAGCCTCATCAAGAGTCAAGGATGGTGTCACCAAGAGAGGAAACTGTCGTATGTAAGTTGCCATCCTTTTGAAGAAAGGGATCAGGATCAGTGTCGTCTTCCTTGCCAGTATGAGATAGTAGACATCATTGCTCTAATATACTCTCTGTTGATTGCGTTGTAGATGAGGGGCTGCATAGGTCTCCATTTCCATAGGTTAACATGATGAATGAATACTTCTGTTGCTGTTCGCCCCAAGTGACAAGCCTTGTTAGGTAGAGCATACTTGGATCCACTGGATAGAGCAATGCAGGATGGTCTGGGATCGAGACAGCACTTCTGCAGAGTTGATCGAATCTTCTGTTGCAGCTTCCCAAACATGGACATGACTATACACCAAGAAGGAGGACCAGTGATGCCAAAGATAGGGGACAAGGTCTTGTTCTTGGACCAGTTGTGCTCGCATTCTTGAGTTGGCCAGAGCATCTTCCATCGGACAAGGTACAGTAATTCACATCGATTCCAGTCCACAAGGAGTAGTTTCTAGCGCAAACAATGGAGTGTTAGTGTGAGATTTGAATTGCTCCCTGTGGATGGAACTGTCATGTGGAGTCCTTCAAAATGTTGTTGGAATTGTGGATTCCTTGTGCTTGATAATGGATTCTGACACAGCTTCTGCCTAGTGTAGCATTGCCAGTGGTGCTCCTTTGTTTGCTATTGTGTTCCACAAAGGCATTATCATTTACAAGAGTGGTTACCTTTTTGACAAAGAGCTACTGAAGTTGGGTTGGTTGTGGATTTCTTCTGTTGCCGGCTCTGATTTGGTTTGGCTGTGTTTGTTCTAGCAGAAAAGAAGGCATCTCCATTCTCCTTTGTTGAGTGCTTTACGCTTCCTCTCTCATTGAGTGGAAGAGGAGCACTGAAGTGCCTTTGAGTACTTCTGCTTCTCTGATGGTTTTCCATTGTCAGCTCATTCAAATCTCCTCTTCCTCTTGTTACTGTATTCTTAATACAGAGAACGTGGTGTGATCTTTTTGGGACTCTGAAACCAAGATGTCTGGCCTTACAGATGACACACTCCTTGAGTGGATCAAAGACTTCTGCTACCTCTCCTCCCAGCGTTGTTTGGGGTCCTTCTTCTCTGGCTCTCTTGGATCTGTTGCTATTGTTGGCAGCCAGTTGGTAGGCTCTCTTCTGTTGCGAGTTCCTCTGTTGACTTTGGCAGCCCATTCCTCCATTGTGAGTGGTAGCTGGTGTTGTTGTTGCTGCTGTTGCTGCTGTTCCGGTCATGGTGCTGCTTTTGGCTGAGATAATGACTGTCGAGTGGCTCTCCGGTGGTGTTGCCGGTGGTGTTGCCGGTGGTGTTGTCATTGTCGAGGAATCCGTCTTTCTGTTTTCGCGAAACACGAAAATGGTGACTAGGTAGCACACTAGCTCTGTAATCTTTATAAACGGTACGTTAAGTATATTTGAATTTCGCCGACTCATTTGCTGATGTCATAGGTTGATTAGCCAATCACATTACTGCCTTCTACCGCTTTCGCCCTCGCAGCACCTCTGAGCCTCTGAGGCTCCATCTTGAGTTCACAACTCACAACCTCTCGATCGCACCTCCATGCATACCGGTACCGGTACTGTTTGGTGGGTGGCCCAGTACTCGTGGAGCCGTGTTATCGTGAAGAGAGAGCTGGCTATGGTACCAGGTACCAATTACCAACGGCGCCGGCAGCCCATCTCCTATCTCCTTCCCTGACATTTTAAGCACCAAAACGGGAAGCGTGTGTGAAGAAGGACACAAAGAGCAATGCCTTTAAAACAACAG